ACAAGAGACCAAGTATCTGCTTTATGCTCGCCATGCAGGGAGGGCTGTAAAGGGATAGCACACATCTATACACATCGTCTATAGCAAGAGCCTCAAGTAATGTTCATAGTGGTAAACAACTTAGATCACTGGATTTTTCCAAATCTATTCAGGCCATCTGGGAATTTGAGAGTCTCACTATATTAGCCAGCGCTTCCCTCTGTGGTTATGCACGGCATCCAAACAAACAGTGTGGATTTTATTCCATAACACAGTGACACCCCGACCGCTTGTGTGGAAAGGCTGGCAGAGAGAGAGAGAGATGCTTCTCTCTATATTTTTTCTGCAAAGAAAAATCCTGTTGGAGAACAACATGCCACTTGTGTGAGATGGGTGAGTGGGCTGGAAACAGTGTTGGAGGTCATGCAAAATGTGGAAACAACACAATGTATCTCTGTCCCTTTCTACTGCTTCCCACCACCACAACAGCACTGAACTAAGCCAGTGTTCGAGCCAGTCCTCAATCTTTGTCAAGTTCATGCTATGTTGTAAAAATGTGGACATGCACCCAGAGACAACCTGAATGCAGCATGGCAAAGTCAACAGCCAATGACAGGCAGTGCAGTGGTCGCTTCAGAGATGGATGGAGGTGCTGCCAGGGATTACTATCCTAAAGCGTATGTGAGGTTTGATTTTCACATGTTACACTTAGAATTTTCTATGTAAGATATATTGTTTAATATTGTGTTTTTGTACTGGTTGAAAACATCAAATGCAATGTGTGAATTACTGAAACTGAGAGCAGCTGGTAGGTCTGTTTCTGTACTTTGGACAGAGCCAGCTTTCTTTTCCTAAATCTCTATGATGGTGTCGTGAAAGGAAAATGAGTAAGATCCATACTGTGAAAACACACAATTATGAAAATAAAGGCATTTCAAAACACATTGTTTTTCTTAATAAATATGCTGCGGTCTGGGCTAATAAGCAGATTCTCCCAAACGAAGGTTCCTGGGAAATTAGCTATAACTGCTTATCCAGAAGACTACTATCTGTATTCCTGTGTTATTTTCAGTAATACTTAGAGCTAAACATTTGAGATGATCTATGTAAAACTATAGTAAATATTCATTTAAACGCATCTTGGACATGCAACTTATCTTGTAAACACATTAAAGTGGGCCAACATCCGGAAAGATGCACTGTTGCCATTTCTTCTTCTTAGAGATTGCTACTGTCATTCTGTGTTGTAAGCCATTTGTTTGGTTAACTGTGTGTAAGTTGTTGTCACTTTGTACACTGATAAATCTAATAACTAAGTAGCCTGGTATCCAGTATAGTGTTTTTGATGCTGTCATTCTTGCCAAGGCTGTTAATATCACAGCGCGTGGGTTTAGTTGATGCCGTCAGTTTGAAAGTACATTGTCGTGACAGCTGTTATCTTCATCCACAGATGTTGCAATTTAAGAGGACACAGTTCTCGTGTCTCTTTCTGGGTGTTTTAACTTCACAAACTGAAGTTTTAAAGGGTGGAAATTCAACAAGCATCGGAGCTACGAATGACCACCTGCAGTAAGATCGTACAGAATAAAATCAAAGCCAAAGCAATATGAAGAGCCTGAAATGGAACTGACAGACTTTGGATCCAGGCAGCACAACTAATTATGTGATCATGTCATGTTTAATTTGATCACAAGTTCAACTAAATCTGTGGGGAGAAATGTGATTCTGATCGTGGATCGTGATTCTACCCCAAGAGATTATATGAT